TAACCTATTCCTCTGCCTCAACTCTGAGAATTGTTTTTACTGAAGCCTTTTCTTTGTAATAGTTTTGTTTTCTGATTGATTGCTGTATAGAAAAGTATTACACTATCTTTCTCAAGGGAGAAGTTCAGCTGATGTAGCCTTGTTTTACTGCTTCAATTTCTTCTTTATAGTTTTGCCTCTTTGGCATCTACCTATTTGCATGAGGTAAAACTGATAATTCAGTCTCATCTGGGGAGAGTTAATAAACAGGAGAAAATGACAAGTCTACTGAGAAAATGAAGATGGATAATGAAACTGTCATTTTGTTAGAAGACAAACTACATAATATGCATTTAGATGTTCCTATACCTACCCTGAATTTGGTGTGGGACTTTTGCCAGTTTTAATTTTAACTAATTAGGTTATTTTTGAGGGAAGAAGTAGGGACAGGAATGAAAATATGCTTTGTCTTTTAACTCTGAGAATAATGGTAGGGGTGGACAGAAAGGCAGAGACAAAGACAAGGTAGCTATGCGGGAAAGAGAGCCAGAGAAGAGAGATGCTCTCTAAATTATTTTTAAAGTTAGAGCAAATAGCCACTCTAAACAGATCCAACACTGACTATACAGTTAATCTTCACAAAATAGGAGCTGAGTTTAAAATTGTAATTCACTAGATTTTATTGCAAAGTTACTCCTTTTTCTTTTTGGTAACGGAGTCTCGCTCTGTTGCCCAGACTGGGCTGCAGTGGTGTGATCTCAGCTCACTGCAACCTCCACCTCCTGGGTTCAAGCAGTTCTGCTGCCTCAGCCTCCCAATTAGCTGGGACTACAGGCACATGCCACCATGCCTGGCTAATTTTTTGTGTTTTAGTAGAGACGGGGTTTCACCGTGTTGCCCAGGCCGGTCTCAAACTCTTGAGCTCAGGCAATCCCTCTGCTTTGGCCTCCTGAAGTGTTAGGATTATAGGCGTGAGCCACAGTACCTGGCATAAAAAAATTCTGACATCTTAATAAGAGATGGTGAGCCATGGTTACAGCCAAATTGTACATTTCTAGGGTTATTTGGAGGTAGAAACAAACTGAACTGTTGCTGGAAGCTTCTCTTAGGTATCACAACGCAGGGGACCCAGGCAGCTGGGGCTCTGCATTTCCTCCCC